GAGGAATCAGGCTCCCTGACTTCAGACTATACTACAAAGCTACAGTAATCAAGACAGTATGGTACTGGCACAAAAACAGAAAGATAGATCAATGGAACAGGATAGAAAGCCCAGAGATAAACCCACGCACATATGGTCACCTTATCTTTGATAAAGGAGGCAGGAATGTACAGTGGAGAAAGGACAGCCTCTTCAATAAGTGGTGCTGGGAAAACTGGACAGGTACATGTAAAACTATGAGATTAGATCACTCCCTAACACCATACACAAAAATAAGCTCAAAAAGGATTAAAGCCCGAAATGTAAGGCCAGAAACTATCAAACTCTTAGAGGATAACATAGGCAGGACACTCTATGACATAAATCACAGCAAGGTCCGTTTTGACCCGACTCCTAGAGAAATGGAAATAAAAACAAAATTAAACAAATGGGACCTAATGAAACTTCAGCGCTTTTGCACAGCAAAGGAAACCATAATCAAGACCAAAAGACAACCCTCAGAATGGGAGAAAATATTTTCAAATGAAGCAACTGACAAAGGATTAATCTCCAAAATTTATAAGCAGCTCATGCAGCTTAATAACAAAAAAACAAACAACCCAATCCAAAAATGGGCTGAAGACCTAAATAGACATTTCTCCAAAGAAGATATACAGACTGCCAAAAAACACATGAAAGAATGCTCAACATCACTAGTCATTAGAGAAATGCAAATCAAAACTACAATGAGATATCATCTCACACCAGTCAGAATGGCCATCATCAAAAAATCTAGAACAATAAATGCTGGAGAGGGTGTGGAGAAAAGGGAACCCTCTTACACTGTTGCTGGGAATGTCAACTGATACAGCCACTGTGGAGAACGGTATGGAGGTTCCTAAATAAACTACAAATAGAACTACCATATGACCCAGCAATTCCACTACTAGGCATATACCCTGAGAAAAACATAATTCAAAAAGAATCATGTACCAAAATGTTCATTGCAGCTCTATTTACAATAGCCCGGAGATGGAAACAACCTAAGTGTCCATCATCGGATGAAGGGATAAAGAAGATGTGGCACATATATCCAATGGAATATTACTCAGCCATAAAAAGAAACGAAATTGAGCTATTTGTAATGAGGTGGATAGACCTAGAGTCTGTCTTACAGAGTGAAGTAAGTCAGAAAGAGAGAGACAAATACCGTATGCTAACATATATATATGGAATTTAAGAAAAAAATGTCATGAAGAACCTAGGGGTGAAACAGGAATAAAGACACAGACTTACTAGAGAATGGACTTGAGGATATGGGGAGGGGGAAGGGTAAACTGTGACAAAGCGAGAGAGTGGCATGGGCCTATATACACTAACAAACATAAGGTAGATAGCTAGTGGGAAGCAGCCACATAGCACAGGGAGATCAGCTTGGTGCTTTGTGACCACCTAGAGGGGTGGGATAGGGAGGGTGGGAGGGAGGGAGACGCAAGCGGGAAGAGATATGGGAACATATGTATGTATATAACTGATTTATTTTGTTCTGAAGCTGAAACTAACATACCATTGTAAAGCAATTATACTCCAATAAAGATGTTAAAATAAAATTTAAAAAAAATAATGAGTTAGCACTAAATTTTGTTTTAGGTAGGTATTAGCTCTAAAGTCTAGAAACTTATGATCAGAACATGGGGTTTAATGAGAGATACAGATTTTTACTATTATGAAATCTCTCCAGGATGCCTATAAACTTAATATTTTATGGAAGATTTTTAAAAGACAACCTATAACAAGGGATTCAAGGATAAACTCTAATATCATTTATTAGAATTTTTGTTAAATCTAAGCCATAATCTGCCTCAGCTTGTTGTTGCAAATATAATCCTTACCTGCAAATTATTTTGTATTTTGTATTCTATGCCTATACTCTGCTCCAAGTTCTACCAATGTTGACGAATTAGTTTAGAAATAGAAATCTATAGTGTAGTTGATGATTCTAAAACCATGACTTCAAGCATAAAACAAATAATAATAATTAATCCTATTGTTTTAGCATTTCCAAAAGTAGTTATGGCAACAGCACCTGAAATAAAGTTGCTCACTTGCTTATGGTTTATAAAAAGGAATTTCTATTCAATCGACCAGTCCAACATCAAATCAAAATCCAAGTAGCAGATGAATCTTAAGACTATAATCCAATTCTAGATGTCAAGGTTGCCAAGTTTAAACTCAGCACTGATATGCTAGTCATGTTCCTACTGACAATGATAGGACAGGTTTTAAAGTATAAATATTCATATAGAGAAAACATACTTGAGCCTAAAAACTGTGTTGTTTAAAAACTGTGTTTTTCAATCAAGGTTATATTTGGACAACATGGATTCCCAAAAAGGCCTAATTGTCTCAATTGTAAAGTATTCTTATCAGCCAAAACATGTTTGAAAATTTACTAGGTGAAGGAATTTATTTATTTAAACTTTCAAAATAGGCATAACTACTTAAAACGCACGTCTAGATCCCCATAAGAAAGATCTTCTGTGGGACTTCCGTGGTGGTCCCGTGGTTAAGCCTCCATGCTTCAACTTCAGGGGGCGTGGGTTCTATCCCTGGTCAGGGAACTAAGATGCCACATGCTGCGCAGCCGTGGCCAAAAAAAAAAAAAAAAATGTCTGGAGCTGAGGGTAAGGTATTCCCAGGAAAATTTATATTATTCAGATGTCACATTTGTTTATACAGTCCATAACTGAATACATGTTATTCTCTCAAATAATATAATTTTATATAGCTTTCTAATAAATCCTTGTCACCAGAAACTTACTGAAAGTAGTACTTCACTATGGTATGCATCACCATGACATTTAACTTAAACAACATAGAACAAGATGTTTGTCAAATTTAGGTTGTGTGGGAAAAATCCCAAAGGAGGCATAGATGAAGGGAATAGAGCTAGTGCCTTCAAGAATGGCTGCTTGGAAGGTAACACAGGCCTTAAAAGACTAACAGGGCTTTGGAAAACTGGAGGGAGTCGTGCTGTCAGTTCCACCCAAGTGTGCAATGTGAACTAAGATACTGAGGCCAACTGAGTCTGGACAGCAAGGGATATGAACAAACAGAAAAGAGTGGGTATAATGCAGAATAGTACTGGAAAGGCTTTGCAGTAAGAAGAGAAGCCTCTTTTTAAAAGTCTTTAAAAATGTCATTTCCCTCTTGTATTAGATTTTTAACACAGCAATACAATTTTATTGTTTTTATCAAACTTATTGGAGTGGCAATGCAAGTCACAATCTCTTATTCAAAGCCTTAGGGGAATGTTTTTCAGAATATTTCAGATTTTAGGAAGATAATAAAGTACATATACCATGTATAATATAACACAGCCAGCAGGCTTTGTGGCAACTGCTGTGTAATCAAATACATTATTTCCAGAGCAAAACACATGATTATTCAGACAAAGTAGGGTAAATAAAGACCAGAAAGTCTTTTATATTTTTGTATTCAAGTCATTTCAGGTTAGATGTTGCCACCAATAAAATTAAACAAAACACACCCATTCAATCTGCAGAATGTTTTAAATTTTAGAATTGTGTCTAAGATATTGAAGTTGTATATTTTAAAACTTCATGACCAAAACCATAACAAAAAACACAGATGTGTACTTTAAAAAGTTATATTATAGAAGTGTTTAATTCATTTAAATTAAATTTAGTGTCATTTAAAATTATATGTGAAAAACACTAAATATAGTATTTTTTTAAAGTATATGTTACTATAAATATTTGATCGGGCAGAGGTGTCGAGAGGCTATACTGTTGGGAAGCATAGGGGTAAGGCTAACCTGAAGGCCCGTAAGGACAGGGAGAGAGCAGCACATGGGCTATAGATGCCCTAGTTATGCCAGGGGATGCCTAAGGGACTAGGAAATGCTAGAAAGATTGGACATGGGCTTCTTCTCTCTCATCCTTTTCAGGAATGGTGCAAGCACCTGAATGTGGAAGGTGAATCATAAATGCAGCCTTGTCACCCACTTCTCAGTCACCTGAATAATTACATGAGATACAGAACAGGATCTGATAAATCACATATAATTCCCATCACTTTCCCAACTATGCAACACTTACGCTGATTGAAAGAAAAGAAAAAAGGAAAGAATGAAAGATGGGTAGAAAAACAGGAACTCCTCACTTGTTACTTATGTCTGAATCACTAAAAAAAATCCTTTTATTCTAACACTAGAGAGTTAACCAAAAAAATGCAAGTTCTTGTAAAAAGACAATGGAACGATAGACACCTATGCAAAAGACCAAACTGAATGTAGGTCCTTAATTTGTCTTGGTGGGGAAGAAAATAAGGAGACCAAGAGGACTTTAAATATATTTGCTAACAGCAAAAAGTAGAAAACTGAGACCAAGAACAAAAATAAATCAACAAACAATTCCAGGTGGCACAGCCTTGCCCTACGTACTGATTACTTTGAACAGAATTGGATCAAAAACAGACTCTACACTGAGATTTTGGTCTTTCACAAGTCAATTCAAATAGCTTTGCTCATGATGTGCATTTAAAAAAATAAGAATAACAGAAATTACACATAGGTGAAGTTAACAAAACCAATTACAGTATGTACAACATGATTTTTTATACAAATATAAATATGCATTTTACATACTTATATATAAATATAAGAAGTATATACATTCAACACTAACAGTCATTGGTGGGATTTTCAGTGATATTTATTGTCTTATTAATCTGGTTCTTAAATGTTCTATAATGAATATGTATTATTTAATTATAAAAACTATGAAAATTTCTAATGGAGATTCTTTCTTCTGGAAATATGTTAAACGAGCTATCACAACTGTATACACTTGTCATTCTCAACTAAATAGGACTCTGTTTTTTTGAACAAACCCTAGTTTTTCTCAATAGACGTAACAATAAAAAAGAAAGACCTTAAGTTGTAAGACAGAAGAAACCTGTAGTAGACTTAATTATAGATTTCTGGGAAATTTACTTACAGTACACATCCACTCTGATTGACTTTATCGCTGGGGACCCCAGGCCATTCTCTGCTTTACAGTAATACCGGCCTCCTTGGTGTCGCTGAATATTTGTAATCCTCAAAGTCTCGTTGAAGACACTTGAGTCTTGGAATCTGTCAGAGGCACTTCCTGCTGTTTTGGTCCACCTGATCTGAGCAAGCATCAACAAAGATAGTTACTTTAGGTTGGTTTTCTCACTGAAAAATTAAATAGCAATTACTCATTTGAAGAGTTGGCTTTCAGAACTGCTACAGTGCCATTTTTGGCAAGTTACTGGAAATTAAGAAGAAAAGTTTATACACATAATTCAACTATAAAAGTTTAAAATGCAATGTCATCATTGTATAGTGTGTATAATTCTAATTCAGTTGCATAGAGTTCATCAAACTTTAATTAGTGTGAAGGGCAATATAAATATAATACAAAGGAAGTTCAATATAAGTAGTGCACTGAAAATATGGATTAGTTTCTTTTTGTTGAGACTCTAAAATTCTCACTCATATTTTCGAAACCCTGTAAGGCACTTTTTATTTACTTAGTACAAGTACTACAGGTAGGTTCTCACTTTCTTTCTGGACATGCTTCAGTACTTTATTCAAAATTTTCTATTTGATTTGGATAATTTAAGCATATTACCATAATAGCTTATTGAAATTATGTGTAATTTTATACACCTAGTTGTTAAAAATGGGTTTTTTTTATGACTTTGCTTTAATAAGCCCACAAATGACTTGTCTGTTTTGATAATTAGAATTCACTTTACATCAATAATTATTTTCAAAAAATGTGTAAACTTTTCCAAAGAGAACATTTCTATTAAACTGCCAAGCACTTTGAATATCTAAAACATTCCATTATAAACAATACCATTCTTTTAAACACAGCTGTGCACAACAGTTTTAGATTTTACCAGAAATAAAGACTGGAATTCAACTCAAATTTTGTGTATGTTAGCTTATAAAACATGAATAAAAGTCACATGATACTATTGTAAAGTGATATAAAACAGGATGTAAAAATGATTCAGTTTATCTCCTTGTCCCTGCTGTATTTTATATATATATATATATATATATATATATATATATATATATATATATATATTTTATTATTATGTTTAGGTTGAAAAACTGCTGATAGAAATCCTCTGGTCAAACACAAATGAAGAAACATAGAAAAATGCAACTAAGGAGTGGGTCATCAAAATTGAAATCCTTTAATACTGTCATTATTTATGCTATTTTCATACAATGTTAATTAAAATTTATGATCAAGTACCTTCAAAAAGTTCTCCAAATCATTACAATATCAGTATAAATATATTCATGTTTGCCCGTAATTGTGAATGAAATGAAAATGTTACCTAGAGATTAATAAAACTTGAGTAATTCATAAAAATAAATATCAAATGTTTATCCAACACTTTGTGCAGAAAATACACACAAAAATAAATGGAATGGGCTTCCCTGGTGGCGCAGAGGTTGAGAATCTGCCTGCCAATGCAGGGGACACGGGTTCAAGCCCTGGTTTGGGAAGATTCCACATGCCATGGAGCAACTAGGCCCGTGAGCCACAACTACTGAGCCTGCGCATCTGGAGCCTGTGCTCTGCAATGAGAGAGGCCCACGCACCACGATGAAGAGTGGCCCCACTTGCCACAACTAGAGAAAGCCCTCACACAGAAACAAAGACTCAACACAGCCATAAGTAAATAAATAAATAAATAAATAAATGGAATGATTCCTGATTTCAAGCAGTTTATAAGTTGATTATTAATATGCTCATAAAAAGATGAAGGGTAATATGGGCACTGGTTTGATAAGTACCTTTTCAATGGGGAAATCTAGGATTCTATTTTAATTTAAATTTCAAAATTTATAGGTAACCAAATAAAGAAAATTGAAATAAATTAGCAAATTACATAATTTTGTTCTTATATAGATATGTTCTCTCTAAAATAATAGATATTTCTAAGATATAACCTAAGATATAATAAATACCAATTACCAATTAAAATACCAAGTTTTCTTTGAGTATCACAATATAGTACCAAAATTGATTTTTAAAAATAAATATTTCAGAACATAAAAAGTTCAGGATAAAAAGAGTTATGGAAATGGCCTAGCAGATTCAGATATTAAAAATATAATATTACGGCTTCCCTGGTGGCTCAGTGGTTGGGGCTCTGCCTGCCGATGCTGGGGACGCGGGTTCATGCCCCGGTCCAGGAGGATCCCACGTGCCATGGAGCAGCTGGGCCCGTGAGCCATGGTCAGTGGGCCTGCACGTCTGGAGCCTGTGCTCCACAGTGGGAGGGGCCACGGTGGTGGGAGGCCCGTGTTCCGCAAAAAAAAAAATAATAATAATAATATTAATACAATAATTTAGTTATAGAATACTGTTACAGTATTGGAAATTGTACAGGAATTGGAGGTGGGGGGAAATAACAAGAGTGAGTATGTGTGTGTGAAAGAGTAAAGAAAGCGTGAGAGAAGAAATTATGATATAGACTAGCAGTTATCAAACTTTTTGGTCTTAGAACACCTTTACACTATTAAAAATTATTAAGGACCCCAAATAGCTTTTGTTTATTGGAATTATATCTTTTCATAATCATTGTAGTACAAATTAAAACTGAGACAATGTTAAATTATGTATAAACTCATTTTAAATCATATTAATAAACTGAAGACATTAACATAAGGAACATTTTTAATCATAAAATTATATTTTTCAAAACAAAAATAATTGAGTAAAATGAATGGAATTGCTTTATAGCTTTGCAAATCTCTTTAATATCTGCTTTAGTGGAAAAGAGTTGTCTCGATAATTATATCACCTTCTGCATGCAATCTGTGGCAACATATTGCTTTGTTTGAAATATGTGAAGAAAATCTTGCCTCACACTGATATCTGGTAATAAAGGCAGGAGTGTTTCAATAGCCTTTTCAGATAATTGTGGATAGCCTTCCTTAATACTAAACTAAAACCCCACAAGGTGTTAGTTTCCTAACATTTGATGGCAAAGTAGAATCAAAAACCATATAAACGCCCTTTTGGCACTCTGTGAGACTAAAATCCATTGGTCTATCTTGCACTTTTAATGGATTGTTTACTCATATGTGATTCTGTAGCATCATACATTAGTCATCTGGAAAATATGAATTCACTGAGTTATACAGATCTTCCAGATGTTGACAAATTTCCTTATATAATACAAGACACATATATTAATATCATCAAACAGAAGAGTCTTTTAAGTGTTGGGAAGCAGCGATACTTATGTTGACAGATTTTCCAAACTTCTAATTTTTCTCTTGAAAAGGTAAAATTTATCATTAGTAATAAATATAACTAAGGTATCTTATTTGGGGTGGCAAATTCACTTCAATCATTTTTGAGAAAATATTTGCCAAATACCCAAGTCTGAATAACCATTATTTGTATAACAATCATCCTTTTAAGTAAAAACATTACTCTACGAAAATAAGTGGTGGAGTCCTTCAAGAGAGTGAACAAGTAAGATGTGGAGATCACCTTCCTCCCCATAAATACATCAGAAATACATCTACATGTGGAACAACTGCTACAGAACACCTACTGAATGCTGGCAGAAGACCTCAGACTTCCCAAAAGGCAAGAAACTCCCCATGTACCAGGGTAGGGCAAAAGAAAAAAGAATAAACAGAGACAAAAGAATAGGGACGGGACCTGCACCACTGGGAGGGAGCTGTGAAGGAGGAAAGGTTTCCACACACTAGGAAGCCCCTTCACGGGCGGAGACAGGGGGTGGCAGAGGGGGGAAGCTTTGGAGCCACAGAGGAGAGCACAGCAACAGGGGTGCGTAGGGCAAAGCAGAGAGACTTCCAAACAGCGGATCGCTGCAGACCAGCACTCACCAGCCCAAGAGGCTTTCTGCTCACGTGCTGGGACAGGTTGGGCCTGGGAGCTGAGGCTTGGGCTTCGGAGGTCAGATCCCAGGGAGAGGACTGGGATTGGCTGTGTGAACACAGCCTGCAGGGGGCTAGCTAGTGTGCCACAGCTAGTTGGGAGTGAGTCCGGGAGAAACTCTGGAACTGCCTGAGGCAAGAGACCATTGTTTCTGCATGTGCGAGGAGAGGTGATTTCTGCTCCATGTATCCACAGAAGGCAGAGCACTGCCTAAGCGAGCTCCAGAGACAGGCGCAAGCCACAGCAGTCAGCCTGGACCCCAGAGACGGGCATGAAACACTAACAGTGCCACTGCTGCCACCAAGAATCCTATGTGCAAGCACAGGTCACTACCCACACCCCCTCAGGAGCCTGTTCAGCACGCCACTGCCAGGGTCCTGAGATCTAGAGACAACTTCCTTGGGAGAACACACAGTGTGCCTCAGGCTGCTACAATGTCATGCTGGCCTCTGCCACTACAGGCTCACCCTGCATTCCAATTATGACTACCACACCCCTCACTATCCCTGGCCTGAGTGAGCAAGAGAGCCCTAATTGGTCGCTGTTTTAACCCCCTCCTGTCTGGGCAGGGAAGAGATGCCTGAGGGCAGCCTACATGCAGAGGCAGGACCAAAACCAAAGCTGAACCACAGGAGCTGTGTAAACAAAAAAGAGACAGGGAAATTTCTCCATGCAAACTCATGGGCAGTGGATTAAATCCCCACAATCAACTTGATGAACCCTGCATCTGTGGAATACCTGAATAGACAATGAATATTCCCAAAATTAAGGCTGTGGACTTTGTGAGTAACTGTAGACTTGGGGTTTGCTTTCCACACCTGATTTGTTTCTGCTTTTCATGTTTAGCTTAGTTTAGTTTTTAGTGCTTGTTATGATTGGTGGATTTCCTAATTGGTTTGGTTGCTCTCTTTTTATTTTTCTACTTTTTATTTTTCTATTTTTTCAATTAAAATGTTTTTCCTTTTTTCTCATTTTCTGAGTGTGTATGTTTATGTTTCTTTGTATGATTTTGACTGTTTAGGTTTACTTTTACTATTTATCCTAGGGTTCTGACTGTTCGTTTACTTGTTCGTTTTTGTTGTTTTTTTCCTTTTATGAGTGTGTGTATGTTTCTTTGTGTGATTTTCCCTGTTTATTTTTACTTTTACAATTTGTCCTATGGCTCTGACTGTTCATTATTTTGGGGTTTTTTTCCATTTC